AAGATAGCCTCCGAAATCCATCCAACAGGCCTCAATACGGCCTCAAGACGGTTTCAAGTGCCCTCCGATCTTTCCAGGGACCCCCCCCAAGAGGCCACAACGGCTTCAAAACCGATGGAACATCACTGTTTGTTGCCTTCTTGCCTTTTCGCTTCCGATGAGCTTTTGAGGCTTTACGGCGGTCTCAAGGCGACCAAACAAAGCCCCAAGAGGGGCTCAAGGGGGCCCCCAAGAGGGCCTTGAGAGCGCCCAAGAGCGCCCAATAGCGCCTCGAGAGCGCCCCAAGACGACCCCAAGAAGCCAGGTTCCTGAATTTACCCCCCTCCTTTCTTCTTGAGTCGTGGAGGTCAAGATGACCTCAAGAGGCCTCCCAGACCCCCCAACGGTCCCCAAGACGACCCCAAGAGAGCCCCAAGAGGGCCTCAAGAGTGCCCCACGAGGCCCCCCGAGTACCCCAAGAGGGCCCCAAGACTACTCCAAGAGACCCCCGAGAAACCGCTTCGAAGGCTGTTGTTACACTGCACGCTTTCGCACTTCCCTGATCACGGCAACTCGCCTTGCGATCTGCAAATGGATGGGCTGGTGGGGATATTTTTTAGTCGCAGCTGCAGGCGAGCGCGCCGACAGCGTCAGTGGAGTAGCACGGGCCGCGAGCGCCCTGATTGCCGGCGCGCGCGCCGAGCAAGCAGACTCATCCTACCGCCGAGGGAAGCTGCGCCGGGGCTGGGCTGCGCCGAGGGGTGGAAGCTACCAGCTGCGGAGGCGGCTGGGAAGTTGCAACGTGCGAGCGCCATGGGAGCGCAGCGAGATCACCAGGCACGCTGGTGGTGCACACCCGGACGACATCCGTGCCGTAGGCGACCCAAATGCCAAAACATCGTGTCGGCGCAAGAGTGAAGAGGGGCAACCTCATCACCGACAAGACTACAAACGGCAGTAAAACCTGTAACGCTCGTCGAAAGCGAAGTCCATGCAGGAGAACTGCTGGTGGGGATACTTTTTGGTTCGAAGCTCCAAGGCGAGGGACAGGGAGCGGGCAAAACGTCCGGGGCGCGGTACGATGTAAATAGGCGCGAGAGTGCCGCAGACTCCAGCGGACAACGCACGCAGAGGCGCATGCATATGCCAGGGACAAAATGCCCTCATTGAGCTGGTGGGGATACGCGAAGCGTAAAGAACTCACGTGTACATCTGTGTATACTTCATTACTTTCACATCAACCCTATGTCCTTGCGGCCAGGGATCACACAGTCAAGATGTTAAGCGTTGCGTTTTGCTGTTGCCCCGTCTCGGGGTGACCTCGGCGGCCTCTTGTTAATTTTGGCGGCCCATGATGTCATGAAGTCAATAACCGTTTCTTCGACCTCGTCTGTACGCACTTGTGGAGACTTCTTAGGCCATATAGGACCCTTTGTTGGGCCACCGTCAGGCCATGAGAGCCTTCTAGGAGCCGTATAGGGCTAGAGGGCCTCGGGCTCCTCGATCTTCCTTGATTCCTTAATCAGTGCTTGCCCTGAAGTTGGGGCCCTAGCGGATCCTGAAGTATTTTGCGAAAGTAGGCGGCCGATTTCGGTGGGCCGCTGGGTTCCCGGGTTCCCGGTTCCAGGTTCCGGGTGCGGCTTCCGGACCGATTTCGGTGGGCGGCGGGGTTCCTGGGTTTCCGGGTCCGTGGGTTCATGGTCGATCTCTTTATCGATTGGTCTCACCATCAGTCGCACGACCCACCCTTCCATCGATCTCACAACCGATCTCACTCTCGATCTCATTATTATATAGAGAGCACGAGCGATCTCATGTTCGATCTCAGTATCGATCTCATTGAATCGACTTCACGATCGGTCTCGCGATCGACCTTTCCATTGTCCCCACTGTCGGTCCCACTATCGATCTCAATATCGATCTCGCAATCGACCTCAATCGTCCACTGATTGGGTTTTTTATTTCTGATGTAATTCTGGGCCTTTGCCAATCCCAAGTCGTTGAAAGATTTGGCGGAAGTTCGCCGCCGATTTTGGTAGGCGGCCAGGTTCCCAGGTTTCCGGTTCTGGGTTCCAGGTTTCCGCTTCTGGGTTCCGGATTAGTCTTGGCGAAAGTTCGCCGCCGATCTCGGAAGGCGGGTGGATTCCAGGGTTCCCGGTTCTGTGTTCCAGGTTCCCGTTTTTGGGTTCCAGGTGGGTCTCGGGTTTCCAGTTTGGGCTTTTTGGCTCCCATTTCCGAATCCTGGATTGGTCACCGTGGGCGAGTGGGCCCCTTGGTGCCCGATTTTTGGTTCCAGTGTTCACCATCTACGTATATCCGCATGGGGGGACAGGGGCCCCGAGACAACACTCAGACTCTGTCCAAGCACGCTGCAGCTTGAGAAAATAGCCCAAGAGGGGTGCAACACGCCCCAAATGGCGCAAAGACAGCCCCAGAGGCTTCCAAAGCGCACCCAGAGAGGCCCAAAGAGAGCCCCCGAATGCGAAAATCGCCAAAATCCAATGGAAAACTTGCAAGTTTACAATATACTGGTAGACGGCTTGGGCGCGCTGCGCAGCAGCCCAAGAGGCGCCCAAAACCGCCCCAGACGCCTCAAGACGCCCCCGAGAGGCCCCCAGGAGGCCGCCAAGACAGCCCAAGAGGGCACCATAACAGCCCAAGACGCGCCTAAGACGGCCCTAAAGAGACCCAAGACGGCCCCCCAGGCCGCCGGCAGGTCCCCAACACGCCCCAAGACGCCCCCAAGAGCTCCAGAAGAGGCCCCGAGAGGCTCCCGAACGGCTCCCAACACGCCCCAAGAGGCTTCCTTTCTCGTGAGACCAGCGTTTCGTTCCCTATTCCGCCTCCTCCTCCTCCTCCTCCTCCTTCATCCTCCTCCTCTCCCTCCCCCTCCTCCCTCCTCCTCCTCCTGCTCCTTCTCCTCCGAGGCGAATCTCGGGCGGCACTCGAGCGCCGCAGCTGCCGGGCGGCAGGGCCTCCAGAGATTTCCATTTAGGGAACGGGCCGATGCTTGCTTGTGGAGGGCCTCTTGGGCCGCGTCCTGGTGGCGTGCTGGGGCGAGCAAGGGGTCTCAGGGGCCGCGTGAAAGGCCAAGAGGCGAACGTGTTTGGAATTTGTATTTTCCATCGAGAGTGGGACGGTTGTTGCTTCTGGAAGGCTTCTTGGGACGCCTTTGGATAGCGTCTCGAGGCGTCTTGGGGGCCTGTAGGGCTGTCGGGAGGCAATCTTGGACGACTTGGGGCACTGTTGAACGACTTGGGCCGACCAGGAGGCCTTTTAAGAACCCTCTTGGCCCGTCTTGGGGCCCTCTTGGGACCGTCCTGCGGCTCTCCACGGCCGTTGCTATGGTTTCTGGAGCCTTCGCGGGGCGCCCGGAGGCCGTCTTGGAACCCTCTTGAAAGCCTCTGGGGCTGTAGGGGGTCGATGTTGGATGCTTCTTGGGCCGGTTTAGGCCTCGTGGGCGCCCAAGAGGCAAATGTGCCGAAAATGCACGTTTTCCTCAGGAGTGGGCCGATGTTTGCTTCTGGAGGCCTTCGTGGAACGCCTCGTAGTAGCTTTTTCAAACGTCTCGGGGGCCTATGGGGAAACGTCTGCAGGCAAGCTGGGGCGGGTTGGACCGAATCGTCTCCCTCGTGGGCCGTCCAGGCGGCCTTTGGGGACCCTCTTGGCCCGTTGTGGGGCTCTCGTGGGACCGTCCTGCCACTGTCCTGGGCCGTTGCTGTGGTTTCTGAGGCCTTCGTGGTGCGCCCGGAAGCCGCCGTGGAGCCTTTTTGAGAGCCTTTTGGGGTGTCGGGGGTCGAACTTGGAGGTGCACTTGGCCGTTGTGGGCCTCGTGGAAGCCCAAGAGGCGAATGTATTGAAAATGCATGTTTCCCCTAGGAAATGAGACGATTTTTGCTTCTGGAGGCCCTTTTGGAGCGCCTCGTGGACGCGTTTTCAAACGTCTTGGGGGCCTATGGGGCCGTCTGGAGGCAGTCTTGGGCGGTTTGTGCCGAATCGTCCCCTGCGTGGGCCGTCTGGGCAGTTTTTGGGGACCCTGTTGCCCCATTTTGGAGCCCTCTTGGGACCGGTCTGCGGCTCTCCCAGGCCGTTGCTATGATTTCTGGAGCCTTCGTGGTGGAGCCTGTTCGGGAGCCGCTTGAGCTGCAGAGGGTCGATCTTGGAGGCTTAATGGGCCGCTGTGGGCAGCGTAGAAGCCCCAAAGGCGAATCTGCTGAAAATGCACGCTTTCCGTAGGGAATGGGACGATTTTTGCTTCTGGAGGACCTTTGTGGGGCGCCTCGTGGTACTATTTCAAGAGTCTTGGGGACTGATGGGGCCGTCTGGATTCAATCTTCGGCGTTTCGGAACGATCTCTCGTCGACTCGTAGCTCTCTTGGACCGTTCCGGGACCCTTTTGAGCCTGTTTGGCCCGTTTTAGGGCCTCCTGAGGCTCCAAGTGTGCGGCCGACACCTTTGCCCCCCACCACCCCACCCTCCTTCCAAACCGTCCGGACCGGCGCCCGGGGGAGGGATTTGGGGAGGGGGAAGCATCTCACACGCCGTGACCCCAAGGGGTCGACGGATTCTTGATATTATGATTATTCTTCTTATTATCAGTGTTGCCATTCTTATGGGTTGCCGGTTATGATCCTTATTGGTATTCTATTACCACTATCATTATCATCTGGATCATTCGTATTATCATTCTCTCCATTCTCCTCATTCTCCCCCTCCTCCTCCTCCTTCTCCTCCTCCTCCTCCTTCGCCTAGCTCACACTCGGCCCCCGACCTCTCCTCGGGCGAGGGTCTCGAGGCAGTCCCAGCCGCGGCAGCGACGGTGCCCACAGAGACTCGAGAGAGGCAGACAGCACACCGATCTCCTCCTCCTCCTCCGCCTCCTCCTCCCTGCTCTCCGGAGGCCTCTGGAGGCGCCTCCTGAGCCCCTCAGATACCTCCAGACGCCCAAGAAGTGAGATCCTCCTCCTCGACCCTCCCCCGTTGTCGTCGTCGGCGTCGCCCACCTCCCTCGGTGGAGAGAGGCAGTGTCGGCTGTACTTCAACGGCCGGGTGGATTGCGGCGACGGGCTCTCCAACTACAGCCTCGGGAAGCTCGCCAGGCTGCACGGCGCTGAGGCCGCCAGTGTCCCGGCGGGGGGGACAGGAAACGGTTGTCAAGCAGTGGCGAGTGCTCAAGCGGCGAGTGCTCAATGGGGCCTCCGTGGGGTGCCTGGACAGGTCTGGGTGCTCGATGTGATGTAGATCGATTGCGTAGGGGAAAGAGGATGATGATGATGATGATGATGAGGAGGAGGAGGAGGAGGAGGAGGAGGAGGAGCAGGATAAGAAGGAGGAGAAGGAGGAGGAGGAGGAGGAGAAGGAGGAGGGGGAGGAGGATCACCAAACAAAGCCGACAGGAGTCATGAATCAGGAGGAGGAGGAGTAGGAAGTGGAGGAGGAGGAGGAGGAGGAGGAGAAGGCTTTTGGGTCGCTTTCACTTGGAGGGGAGGGACAGTGGGCTTGATAGGATCGGCTAGGCACAGGAGGAGGATTTTAGGTTTTCTGTTATGGGGTGGTCGGAGGGCACTAGGGGGTTATGCAGCGCTTTTGGGAGGCCCTATGGTTGAGGGGGATGATGTGGAGGATTTGGATTTGGATGGGGGAGGAAGGATGAAGAGGACGAAGAGGAAGGAAAGGAACAGGATCAGCAGCAGCAGGAGAATGGGGGCCATGGTTTGAGTTTTTGTTTCGAGTGTGCATTCGAGCTCTTCGGGGGCCTTGAGGGCTTATGAGTAGTAGGAGTACGACGACGATGGAGCAGGAGCAGGAGGAGGAGGAGGAGGAGGGGGAACAGGAGCGACAGGAAAACGAGGAGGGACGGCAGGAACAGAGCAGTTGGCACCGAGGCACGCTGGCTGGCCACCTCTAGTTCCTGCTCGATGCCGACCGCCCCTGCTGCTCCTTCTGCCTCTGCCGCACCTGCTGGCTGTGTTGCTCCCGCTTCTCCAGGTGCGCTTGCCGCGCTTGCCGCGGCAGCTGCGCTCGCTGCTGGTCGACGGCTGCTCGCCGCCGCCGCTGCTGCTGCGGCCTCCTCTGCTCCTGCTCCTCCTGCTCCTCCTTCTCCTCCTCCTAGGTGTTGTGGTCCGAGGCGCCCCATTTTGGGCTAGCGGCCCGACAGACCACGACCCCAGTCCCGCGGGGCGCGTCAGGGACGGGCGCGCGCGCGATCTGTTTCGCCCGCGTGGCACCGTCGGCTGCGGCGCGCAAGAGCCTCGGCGAGGAGGCGCCTGTGCCGTGAGCGCGACCTGCAGCTGCTGCAGGCACATCACGGCAGCTCTCCCCCGAGTTCGATTGCGTGGCGCAGGAGTGTTCCCTGGCGTGAGAGTACCAGCCGTCGGAGCTGGCAGCAGAATCAGGCCAGTCAACGGATTCAAAGGCGACCCTACAACGTCTGCTCCCAATGTGGTCACTGGAAGTATGTTACGTGGGGCCATTCTAAGTGCAGTAAGTGCTATGGGCCATACCAGGCTCAGGGCAAGGAGGCATCTACCGCGCCATGGGCTGCGTCTCAGAGCACACCACCCGCCGACGGCGGACAAGTGCCTGGTCAGCCGATCGCCATGCCAGCTGAGTTGGTGGAGCAGCTCCAGAAGTGGTCTGAGCAGTTCCCCGCCTTGCTTGGCGTGGTGCAGGCCGTGGTGCCCAAGCCCCAGCAGATCGTCGAGTACCGCGCGCTGGAGCTCGACCGCCTCGCATCCCAGCAGCAAACGGAACTCGCCCGTCACGTTGAAGCTGCTGCGAAGGCAGAACGGTTGGCTCATCAGGATGTGCAGTGGAAGCCCGACCGTGTCAACAAGACTCGCCTCCTTCTCGGTGAACAGGAGGAGGCCCATGCCGATGCCTTGCGCTTGCTCCAGTCAGCCCAGCAGGAGAAGTTGGCCGCTGAGCAAGCCACGGTCGCTTTCAACCCCGGCCAGTTCAAGAAGGACAAGCAGGATGAGATCGCTGCCCAGCGGCAGGCCCAGGCCCAGGCCGAGGCGGCGGCCGCTGCCCAGACCGCCCAGCGGGCGCAGGGGGCATGCGCCCATGGCGCCGTGCCAGCCAAGCCTGGCCATGCCGCAGGAGGCCCAGTCAGACGTGAAGCTGGAGGCAGTTCTCCTGACGTGGCAATGGCAGATGCTACGGATGACGGCCCACGTGCTCGTGATGTTCCTGCAGGTGTGCCCGTCTTCCCCAAGAATATCCACTGCTGCGTTCGCGATTCCCGGATTGATTACAACTATTTGGAGTCTCACTTGCATCTGCTGGATGATGCCCAATTGGAGTCCCTCGCCAACTGCACCACCATCACGCTCGAGCAGTGGAAGCAGTTCCGAGTTCATGTCAACGGTCGGCAGGGAGGTGAAGCAGACCTTGCGAGCGACGCAGGGAGTGATGCAGGTGATCTTGGCGAGAGGGAGGAGCTCGCCAACCTCAAGAAGCGGGCCGCGGAGCAGGGGCTCGCCGCCACCCAGGCGCAGCGGTGCCAGGCCCTGGTCACCACCATCGCGGGGAACAGGGCTGCGAAGCGCACGCGCCGCTCTGAGGCCCAGACATGTGAGATGTACCGTGCTTTCTGTGCTGCAGCTGCTAATAATCTTGTCTCTGGAGCAGCCGCTCCACCGCAGCAGCTTTAGAACTGGCCCAGCCCCAAGTGGGGAGGCGGATGCACGTGCACGCGTGTATTTCCAGTTTGTAAATATCACTAGATGGTCTAAGCTGGCCCAGGGCTTCCTTTCTATTAAGGTGTATGAGGTTGATGGTCTATTTATGGCCGAGCATCATCTACGGGGTGATGCTGATATATTCCGTGCTAAGAAGCTTTGCAGGCAGCTTCGTTGGTCGCCTTATTTCCAGGATGCGTTGGCGTCTCCAGGCGGGGGCACTCATGGTGGCGTCTGTGCCGTTGTCCAGCCAGGGTTATGCACCCAGAAGTTTTTGATCCAGACCAGCAAGGTTGCCCAGGCCGGCTTCGGAGATTGTTGGTTTTTCCTGGGGATGCGGTTTCGGTCCTGTACGATCGCCGTGGGGGTGATTTACTTGGTTGATTCCATTGGTGTCTCTGGGGCTAATACCCATCAGCTCCGTGCCGTCGCGGAGTTCGTCAATGCCCTGGCGGTGCCCTGGGTCCCCATGGGGGGTTTCAACGTGGCACCAGAGCTTTTAGAAGATCTTGGCTTTCTCGGACTGGTTCGCGCCCGCACGATCGTGCCAGATAGCGTCGCCTTCACATGCGATGCGGGGGAGACCATGATTGACTATGTTGTGTGCAGTGAGAGTTTGTGCGCTTATGTTAAAGTATCGGCTGACGCCCGATCTCCGTTCAGGACCCATGCTTGTCTGGATGTGGTGTTCCGCTTCGATGCGCTCTATACTCCCGTTTGTCAGAGGCGCATTCCCATGGAGATCCCAGAGGCTTTTGGTCCTGACAGTGTCTGGCTCTCCTATGTTGCCGAGGCCTCCTCCACTTTGGTTCCTCTGGATATGCAGATCCCTGGTGACATCATCGCTGCCATGCCGCAGCGCACTGTGGAAAATACGCCCCCCCCCCCCCCCCCCCCAGCTCGGCATGAAGTACTTCGTGTGGCCCCGAGCTGTTGAACTTATGTTGCTTTCGCGTGCCTGTGCGCTGGTGGACGAACCGCACCAGTACTTCGGTCGTGGCACCGTTTTGCAAAGGCGAGTTGTCTCTCTTGCGCGGAGAGGACCTGTTGCCCAACGCTTCCGCTGCCCGACCCTCGCATTTTGGTCCATGGTCTCCGCGAGGTTGCACGAGTATTGGAAGCTCCTGAAGGCCCCGTTCAGCAGCCACGCTAAGAGGCTTCGTGAGGTCCCTGTCAGCTTTGTTCCTATGGTGGGATCTCATATCGGGCCTCTGAAGGACCTGGACGAGGCCAAGGCTGGGGAGACTCTTCTGGGAGACCCTCCATACAATCGTGAAGATGCTCGGCTCATGGTAGATCGTGGCGCCGATATCACTACGCGCGCGTGGACACAGGTATACGAGCATACCCGCAAAAGCATTCGTACATGGTTACAGCAAGCCCTTCCGCGTGGTGCCAAACAGGTACATGCATATCTTTAAAGCTGAAGGTAAAGTGCACGTTGAATAGTTTGAGTCTCGTTCGGGTGTGGTGTGCGACCCAGTGGCTATGATGAAGCACCGAGAGCAGTTCTGGGGGTGCTGGTGGGCGCCAGACCCTCAAGTCCAGCGGTGCCTCAACGCTGGATTGGATGAGCTGCGGGCACTTGCCCAACTTTCCCTGGTCGAGGTGCAACCCCTCGAGATGAAGGGTATTTCTCGTGCTTGCGTTCGTTCTGGAGAAGGCACCGCCGCTGGGGTGGATCTATGGTCCCCCAGATCTCTTTTGGCTTTGCCAATCGCCGCGCTGGAGCAGCTCACAGACATCTACGTGGGGATCGAGTTTCCCCTCACCTTCCCTCCCCAGTGCTCGTTCTGCCTCATGGCCATGCTGCCGAAGTCTGTCAAAGAGGAGAGAGCGATCACCAAATGTCTTACCTTGTGCCGTATGTATTGTAAAGCTCGTGGTTTTGATATCGACGCTTGGAATGCCTCCCATCTTGAGTTTTAGGGTACCGCTGTTAAAAACTCGTCGGCCCTGAGAGCCACGCTGTTTCGGGCAGTTTGCCATGACATCGCTCTCTCGTCTGGTATGGCGGCCGTCTCGGCCCACTGGGGCATGGGGAAATTCTTCGACTCCGTCTCGCCCCACAAACTCATGCATTTGGCTATTAAGCATCAGTGCCCTGCCTACCTCCTCTACCTCGGCCTGTTGGTGCATGCGTCCCCGAGGGCTCTGGAGGTCTCCCGGATGCTGTCGGCTATCCCCAAGGCGGGGGAATCTATACTTGCAGGCTGTAGTCAGAGCATGCCTTGGGTGAAATGTTACCTTACGACGTCCTGGCGCGAGCCCACTTTCGGGTCCCTGGAGGTTCCCTTGGAGGCCCATTGGTCAGGGTTCCCGTGCGTTCGTACGTCGGCGACATCACTCAGCTCCTCCAAGGGACTCCTAAGTTCCTGGCCAGGTATTTCCCGCAGGCAGTGGCAGCTTTTCATGACGGCGTCACGGATCTAGGCTGCTTCGTGTCGCACAAGTCAGTGGCAGTGGCTTCAAGCAAGGACGTGGAGCGTATCTTGCGACCGATGCTCGATAAGTTTAGCCTGGACCTCCCCTTCGCGAATTGCGTGAAGGATCTGGGCACAGTCACTACTTTGTCTAAGAGGCGGGCTACTCGGAAGCTGAGGGTGAGAAGGGGTATAGCGTTCAAGAGAAGTCGTAAATTTAAGCACCTGGCTGCAATGTGTGGGAGGTCTAGGAAATATTCAAGCCTGGAGTGCTCTCGGTTGGGGCCTGGGGTCACAATATCTTGGGGTTACCCTACCACGAACTCAAGAAGGTTCGTGCCTCTGCGGCTACCTGTTCTGGATTCTGGAGTTCTGGAGCATGTACTACTACTGTGCTACACCTTCTTAGTGATTTTAAGGATGACCCTATCTACCGCCTCAGGATTGAGCAGTTTTCTTCGCTGGCTGGCATCTGGCCTTCTCTACCGAGTGGTACACAGGCTGGTGCGCGCAGAGCATGGGCTCGAATGAAGGACCTCTTTGCTCAACAAAACTCCTGCTGAAAGGTGGCGTTGTGTTCGGGGCCCTATTGCGGCCGTGTGCGTCACTGTCCTCGACCTGGAGTGGATCCCCAGGGCCGTGGATCTCTGGGAGATCCCTGGGTTCCCGAACCTCCAGATCACCGACCCCGATTTTCGGTACCACCTCGTCCGCAGGGTTCGGCATACGTGTTCTCAGCAGGTTTGGGCAAAGGCGTCAGAACAGTATTGTGCTCAAGGAATAGAGCACGGTGCAGACCTCGCTGTTTTTTTTCGGCGGCTCCATAAGAGTTTATTGAAGGGGCACGACTACCAGCGTGCAGCCATGCTGGTGAACATTGTGGTTGGAGCCTGCTGGCCTGAAGGTCGGCTGCACGACTCTGGTTACGCTTCTACTGGTCTATGTCCGCGATGTGCAGATGAGAAGGAAGATATGCAGCACCGATGTTGGCAATGCCCCAGTAATGGTTTTATAGAAAATACTGCCGTTTTAGCCACTTCTCATCTATGTGCACGCGCGGTGGCTGCCTCCCCAGATTCCTCTTTGTGGTCCCGGGGGCTTCCGCCCCTGGCCAGTACGTGGGGGGTTGTCCCTCCACCAGTCTCGCAGGTTTGGTCCTGGGGTCTGTTCGGAGCGCAGCAAGTTATCGAAGGAGGTCATTGGGGTTTAGATGGATCTGGTGGGAAGCATGCTCTGGATGAACGCTTGAGGAGGTGTGGATGGGCTGTTTGTCGGCTCGGAGAGCCGCAAGATGGCCAAAAAAGTGTGAGTGCTGTTCGTTGTGGGTCCCTCCCGACTCCCGAGCAGTCCAGTCCGAGGGCCGAGTTGTTCGCTTTCCTGGTCGTCCTGAATCACACTGTCGGAGATATTGCGTGCTACACTGATTACCTGCCCTTGAGCCGTGCGATGTCCAAGTCGCGGGCTCATGTTTCCCAGCGTTCGCCTATGCTCGATCTGTGGGTCTTGATCTGGGATGCGATCGATCGTCGGGGCCCTGGCCAGATCACCGTTCTCTGGACGAAATCTCATCCTACTCCTGAGATGCAGGAGAAATTCGCCATCGGTTCTGACGAGTTTTTCTTGAATTGGTGCGCTGATTTCTTTGCAGGATGGGCTGCAGACGCAGTCTCCGTCACCGATGATGTTGCCATGCCGGTGCAGGAGAGCGATGGCCTTACCCACTCCATCCTGTGCAGGCTTTTAGCCACTAGCATGGAGGTGGCCACTTCCTGCAGGCGACGGGCCGCCCAGAAGGTCGGCCGCGCGGCGGCGACGCCCCGCGCCCTCTCCTCTCTCGGCACCCGCCAGCTTCGCCTCCTCCAGGCGGGTCATCAGTGTCGGAAGAGGGGTGAGTTTCTGATTTGTCAGATTTGCTGCCGTAAGTTTCGTTTGAGGGGTCTCCTGCGGCGTTTCTTCCCTGGGCCTTGTTGCGGCCCCAAGGCCCTCGCCCGTGAGACCCCAATGATGCATCCCCTGTTTCCGCGGGTTCACAGTTCTCATAAGTTGGACGTGATTTGCGGAGTACTGTTTTGTACCCAATGCGGTAGTCATGGGGTTGAGAATTCCGTCAACCTGAGCAGGCAATGCCCACCTTCCCCCTCCAAGTCGGGGAAGGAAGTGCTCAGTCGTCTGTCCAGGGGCCTCCCGCCCAAGAGTGGGGCCCCCTGGCCTCGTTGATGTGGTGAATCGTGCCCTGGCTTGACCAGGTCTCCACGCTTGCCCAACCCAATCCTCCTCCTCCTCCTCGTTCTCCCGCTCCCCCCCCGCTTCCACTGCCGCTCCTTGTCCCGCTCCTCCTCCTCCTCGTCCTACCCCTCCTCCTCCTCGTCCTCCTCCTCCTCCTCCACAATTACTCAATATGCTTACTACTCTCCTTCTTCCCCTGATGACGTGCTGGGAGTGTTCGCCTACCCCCGCGTCCTGTTTTTTTTACACGCAAGATTCCCGGGAGTTGGGTTTTCGCTGGCATTTTTTCCAAAATGCTGCTCTCGCTGAGGCGCCGGCCTCATTTTCGGGCCCCGCTCGTTCCGAATCGTGCTCCCGCTGCAGCGTGGGTCTCATTTTCGGATCGGTGTTTTGCCTCCGTCGTTCAGGATTGCGTTCTCGGCCCAGCGCGGGCCTCTTTCTCGCGCGCCCATCCGGCCGCCACCACCGCACCGCGCCCCGCCCCGCCCACCGCCACTTCCACCCACCAACGCACGCACGCACGCACGCACGCGCACCGCCACCACCACCCCACCACCCCACCCACCACCACCACGCTACACGGCGTCACACCACATCACACGCGCGCGCACACAGACACACACGCACGCACGCACGCACGCACACACACACACACATACACATGCACACACACACACACACACACGCACACACCACCACCACCACCGCCACCACCACCACCGCCATCACGCACGCACGCACCTGGCCCACCACCAAACCACCAAGACGCCACACCACGTCACACCACAGCACACGCGCACACACGCACACACACACACACACCACCACCACCACCACCACCACCACCACCACCACCACCACCACCACCACCACCACCACCAACCATAACCACAACCACGCACACACGCACGCACGCACGCACGCACCACCACCCACTACGCACGCGCGCGCGGAGCCACAGGTCCGCTACGACACGCGTCCGCGGATAGAGAAAATCAGCGCCATGGTAAGGGATGGGAGGGATGGGTAGGACGTCAGATATGACGCGAGCGCACATAGCTTGTCCTCTTCCCACCCCTCCCGCATCCCTCCTGCTCCTCCTGCTGTTGCTCCTCAGGCCCCACCCCTCCGTCCTCCAGAGGTCACCGTCCGGCTGACCAAGCGGGGAGTCACGCATGTCGTGTGCACCCAGTTGGCTGTGGCCAAGGACTGGCAATGGCAGGATGGGGCATTTCCTCCTCGTCCTTCTGCTCCTCCTGCACGTTCTCTATCGCGGCCGCGAGCCGCCGAGGGCTTGAAAGCGAGGGGGATGTTCGGACCGAAGCGCTGCTGCGGGGAGCCTCGGCGAACCGTGGGGCAGGTGAGGCACCGCCCTCCCCTAGCTATGCCGTGTGCAGTAAGCGGGCCTTGGACGTGCCCGGGAGGGTGTCAACTCTCCCAGGGGTGGCCCAGGCAGCCCGCGTGGCCAGAGTGCATGGCACTGCTGGTCCTGTGCTGGTCCTCCTCCCCGTCCTCCTACCACCCATCGTCTTGCACTCTTCTTCGTAGTCGTCCAGGATGGCCGCGGCCTGGCCGCGGCCTGGCCGCGAAGGGGGTGGGGGGCCGTCGAGTCCTCCGCCTCCTCCTCCTCCTCCTGCTCCTCCTCCTCTTCCTCCTCCGTCTCCTTCTTCTCCTCCTCCTCCTCCTCCTTCTCCTCACCCTTCTCCTCCTCCTCCTCCTCCTCCTCCTTCTCCTCCCCCTCCTCCTCCTCCTTCTCTTCCTCGTCCCTTCGTCTCCCCTCATCCTCCGAGGCCTCCTTGGTGGCTCGAAGAGACAGCGCTGGAGGCTTCTGGCCATTCACTGCGTTCCGAGGCCGCTTCGTGGCGCAGGAGACCTGCCATCCCCCCCTCATCTGCTATTTCCTATTCCTCTTGCTCGTCCTCCTCCTCCTGCTCCTCCTCCTCCTCCTCCTCTTCCTCCTCCTCCTTCGCTTCCTCCTTCCTCCTGCCCAGGGTTCTCCCTCTGTGTTTTCAGTTTTCCAGAATTTCGAAGTGGGTCCAGCCGTGGCCAGACAGGCGGCCCAGGAGGCCCCAAAGGTTCACAACCCTTGCCAGCTGCCCCATGGGGCCCTACACTATCCAAAAGCGAATGCAAACTCAGATCCTTATTCGTCCTCCCTTTTGTCGATCTCTAGGGATCGCTGAGGGTACCCCTTTTATCCTTCGGCGCCCCACATACGGCTGCCGAGCCAGGGGTGACCCAACTCTCCCTCATGCATCCTGATATGCATACCCCTTTCGGTACACTTGGGGCTCCGTGCTTGCACGGGCGACGCTTGCAGCAAAGAGTAACGGCTCGCATCTGCGATGGAAGCCCCCTTGCGAGCGTCCAGCTGATGCTGTGCTGGCGCCTCAGCTCGAAGCCCCCCCCCCACGTCTCCCGACGGCGAAATGGCACTCCAAAACGGGCCAAGAGGGCTCCCAAAGGCTGTCCAGACGGCCCACGCGGGGGACGATTCGGTCCAAACCGCCCAAGATTGCCTCTAGACAGCCCCATGGGCGTCCGAGACGCTTGCGCACGCGACCACAAGGCGCTCCAAGCAGGCCTGTGAAGATGCGAAGGATGCGCCACCCGACCCCCCCTTTGCCCCCCCGAAACGGGCACGGCACCTCACCGCACGGCCCCTCGCACTCGGCAGCAGCTCCTGCCGCGCCGGCATCGGCACAGGCGCTCGGTGCTCCCCCCTCCCCCTCCTCCTCCTCCTCCTCCTCCTCCTCCTCCCCCTCCTCCTCCTCCTCCTCCCTTCTCCTCCTCCTCCTCCTCCTCCTCCTCCTCCTCCTTGCTCCCTCGGGCAGTGCCGCTGGCTCTGCCCCCACCCCTGCAGCGCCCAGCGGTCGCGCCCACGGCAGTCCCGATGCCGCGGCGGCCGTGTCCGAGCACCCGCCGCCGACGGCCTGGAGGCCGCGGTCGGGGTGCTGCGGGGGGGGGAGCTGCCGCAGATGGGCGGCATGGCCTCTCGAGTCCTCCAACAATCTTCGTCTCCTCCTCCTCCTCCTCCTCCTCCTCCGCCTCCTCCTCGCTCTCCTCCTCCTCCTCCTCCTCCTCCTCCTCCTCCTCCTCCTCCTCCATCTCCTCCCTCCTCCCTCCTCCTCCCTCCTCCTCCTCCTCCTCCTCCTCCTCCTCCTCCTCCTCCTCCTCCTCCCTCCGCGCCCCGGACTCGGTGCGGCGGGTTCGCGTCGTGTCGACGCGGCGGCCGGCTACCCCGCTGCGTGCGCTCCAGCTCTCGGAGCGCTCCCGAACGCTCAGAGGAGGCCTCGCCGCCCGATGCACCTTCCAGACTTGCCGGATCTCCGAGGTTCTCGATTCAGCCCCACCCGATGTGATCCTCGTCCTGGCTTCGTTGTCAGTGGCCCTCCATCGGCAAGTGTGGAATCGCCGATCGGGCAAGCTTGAACGATCCACGTCGTGTTAAGTCGGGCATGTTCTTGTACCTGATAAATACTCAAGCATCGGGAAACAGTCTGATAACGGTTTTCGTGCTCTTCGATATCTGACATAGATGAATATGATTATGATGATGTTGATGTTTTCTCTTTTCCTCAGAAGATCCGCTTGCGGGAGGACATGCCTGACCTAAACGTAGTGTCAGAAGCCACCGCTGGGGCGGCTGCGACACGAACCTGCCGTACGCGAGCAGCTCCATCGGCAGGCGGATATGCTCATCAGTCGTTGGAAGAAGGTAGCTGTTGCTTCCCAGGTTCCAGTCTGCCTTATTATGTTCAATGGAACAAAAATCTTAGGGAGGCTTGTCCAAGGGGGTTGTCCGGAGGGGGTGTCCGGGGCTTGTCCGGGCTTGTCCGGGCTTGTCCGGGGCTTGTGCGCGGGGTTGTCCGGGGATTATGTTTGATAGGTTTTTTTTTTTCCATTGAACATCGTAGGCATCCTTCCTGCCTCAAGGATCGAGTGGTGCTCCTGTCTCCTTCGTCTTCAGGGAACGGGCGGAGGCCCAATCTACTTCCAGCGCGTTCCTGCTTCACGGTCCCACCCACTTCTCCTCCCCCTCCTCCTCCTTTCCCTCCTCCTCCTCCTCCTCCTCCGCCTCCTGCTTCTCCTCCTCCTTCCCCTCTTCCTCCTCTTCCTCCTTCTCCTACTCCTCCTCTTCCTCTTCCCGTCCTCCTCCTCCTCATGCTCCTCCTCACTCTCCTCCTCCTCCTCCTCCTCCTCCTCCTCGTCCTCATGCTGCTCCTCCTTTCCTGCACGCGTGTAAGTGATGAGCGCTGCATGCAGGCCGTCCGCCCCCAGATGGACGACTTGCGCAGGCCCATGTAGGCTCGGGTCGGCCTCGCGCAATCCGCTCTGCAAGCTTCACGCCCATGCTGGACTCTCCGTGCCCAGCGCTCGCAGCTCATTCTCAGCTGCCCTGGCACTCCCGTGCTGAAACGCACCACGCACCGTGTTCAAAAGGTCTGTGTCACAACGCTGCGTGTTGGCTCGGCACGTGTAGGCGCACGTGTTGTCGGACCGGTCGCGCCATACTCAGGTGTTCAGGCTACGTGTGGAGCTCCGTGCCAACACGCTGCGTGTTGTGTGTTGCGTATCGGGGGGTTAAGCAGCCCGTATGTTCTGGTATTTTATTCTGGCACGGCAACTAGGCAATGGGTTGGGCCGATTCTGTGTTCCAGCATGTCTGAGGAGCCATCTTGTGACCAGCACAGTTGCAAAGCAATCGACAATCGCCCGCATCAGTAGAGCGTGTCGTTTGCGCGTCAAGTCAGGCACGCACCATTTCCATCAGTTGCGTTACCACCGCGCATGGTCTTCAGTTGCGATCTTTTTGTTTTGGTGGGGAGACGGCATCGGCGGTGTCTTTCGTAGAGTAGTGTTGACACTCTCCACCGTCGCAATTGTACAACGCCTCGGAAAATACAGCAAATGCCTGAACACTATCCCGCGATTGTGTCTTCTTGCTGCTTTCCGCGTTCATACACGCAAGACGTGCGCGATGGCCAGTCGATCGGAGGTTGGGGGGTGAGATCGCAGTGGAACGGAGACCCCAAACAAGGAAATCGTTTCGTTTCGTTCGTGGCGTGCGTGCGGGCGGGGCGAAGCTGCGTGGGCGCGCTTGAGGAATGAGCCCGCCGTTGCTAGGGCTCCTCCGTCCGTCTGTCCGTCAGGCGGTGGCTCGCGGTGTCCCGTGGTGTCCCGTGGTGTCCCCTTGAGTGAGATCGATACTGAGATCGATACTGAGATCGACACTGAAATCGATGTGGTGCCCCGAGGTGTCCCGTGGTGTCCCGTGGTGTCCCGTCGAGTGAGACAGATAGTGAGATCGATAGTGAGATCGACAGGTGTCGTGATGACCCGTGGTGTTTTGCTGGGTGAGATCGATAGTGAGGTCGATACTGAGATCGATACTGAGATCGATGTGGTGCCCCGAGGTGTCCCGTGGTGTCCCAAACAGTGAGATCGATAGTGAGATCGACAGGTGTCCCGTGGTGTCCCGTGGTGTCCCGTTGAGTGAGATCGATAGTGAGATCGACAGTGAGGTGGATGTGGTGTCCCCTGGTGTCCCAAAAAGTGGCCCGTAGTGTCCCGTGGTGTCCCAAAACGCGGGATCGGTAGTGAGATTGTTTATGAGATCGGTACTGAAGTCGATGTGGTGCCCCGAGGTGTCCCGTGGTATCCCAAAAAATGAGATCGATAGTGAGATCGATAGTGCGATCGACATGTGTCCCGTGGTGTCCCGTGGTGTCCCGTTGAGTGAGATCGATACGGTGATCGATATTGAGATCGATACTGAGATCGATGTGGTGTCCCGTGGTGTCCCGCGGTGTCCCGTGGTGTCCCGTTGAGTGAGATTGATAGTGAGATCGATACTTAGATCGACAGGTGTTCCGTGGTGTCCCGTTGAGTGAGATCGATAGTGAGATCGATAGTAAGATCGATGTGGTGTCCTGAGGTGTCCCATGGTGTCCCGTGGTGTCCCGTGGTGTCCCGTTGAGTGAGACCGATAGTGAGATCGATAGTGAGACCAATAGTGTGATCGAGAGGTGTCCCGCGGTGTCCCGTGGTGTCCGGTGGCGGCCCGTGGTGTCCCGTTGAGTGAGATCGATAGTGAGATCGATAAAAAGGTCGACAAGTGTCCCGTGGTGTCCCGTGGTGTGCCGTGGTGCCCCGTTGAGTGAGATCGATACACTTCTGGTTCAGGAGGGGCTCTGGTTTTCTGGC